CCCCCCGTACTCAGAGTTGAATCTCTGAGCCTTCACACTGAACTTCATTCCCAATCCTGTTTGTATTTTGAGACATAGGCTTAAATTTCCCAGACTGGACTCAAACTTTCGATCCTCCTGCCTCAGCCTCCCAGAGTGCTGGTTATGCAAACCCAACCCATCATGCCTGGCCCTCTTGCTTACTTCATTCATAAAAATGAAAAAGTCGCCTGGGCCTGCCATATAGCTCAGTGGATTAAAGCCCCTGCTTAGGCAAACGCAGGAGCACAGGGTTCGATCCCCAGCCAGCTGTGCCGGCCCCGCCCCCGGGGCGTGAAGAGACAGACAATGAGACTGGGTGCAGGGGGCGTGCCCCTGTAATCCCAGCGTTTGGGAGGCTGAAAAACAGAAGACTCACTATGAATCTGATCTGTGTAGTGAGACCCTGTACTAAACACACACACAAAAGAAGTGGCTAGCCTGTTTCAACGTACAGTGTTGAACAGTGGCCAGGCCGCGGTGGCACTCATGGCTGAAGGGTACGCGACGAGGTGGAAGAGCAGGGCACAGAAGCCGCACATCGCTGTGGCCCTTTCTATTAACTCCCTATTTTTTTTCGGCAACCAAGTACTTCACCAAATCGGGATCAATCTGTCCCCACGCTCAGCAGCTGGTTTTGGCCCACGGAACCCGTGAGCTAGAGGCGCCTTCGGCCCCGATAGAGCGCCCCAGGGCCCAGGCTGAGCCCGCCTCTCCCGCCTACAGCGCCGACGAGACGCGGCCGGGCCCTCGCGGGGCGTTGTGGGAACCCAGCACACCTCGGGCGAGCGCGGCGTCGAGACACTCGCCCGGCGCGGCCGTCGCCCCTTTTGGCGGGCTCGGGCGTCCCGAGGCTCCGCCCCCCGGCGCGCTCTAACTGCGCCCACAGCCGCGGAAAGCGCACTCCCATTGGCGGAGCAGCCGCGGAGGCCCCGCCCCCTGCCGCCCCAGACGCTAGCACGTTGAGTGGCGGGGCCGGGAGAAGAACTGCCAGAGCGAGCAGCGGATCTGGGGCCGACACGGCCGTTTTGTGTCGCAGGCTCTGAAGCTCTCGAGAAGCGGCTGGGTCGCGAGCGCGGCCTGCGCCCACGGGGGAAAGTGGGTGGTGGGTGGGCCGAGAGCGGCTCAGCGGCGACGACAGCCTGTCGCCCTTTCTCCCACGCCTGCCCGCCCGTCCGCCCGCCCTCCCGCCCGCCCGCCCGTCGACCTTGTGGGTAGAAGCTTCCCGGGACTCGTCGCGCCAGCCCCATGGCGACTGCTGCGGAGTCCGAGGCCTCTCCACCGACGGACGCGAGCTGGGAAGGCGGCGGAGGAGACGACGAGATGAAGCCGACGCTTCCGGAGCTTGTGTCATCCCCACAAAATGGCGGCGGCGGCCTCACCACTGCGGAGCCCGGCGGCGGCGCGCGGCCCGAGGAGACCGCGGCGGCCGACGCAGCCCCCGGCTTCAGGCTCGAGCAGCCTCAGGACGGCCCCGAGGCGGGCGCGGCCGCTCTGCCTAAAGGCCCAGAAGAGCCCGAAAGGCCTCTTAGGAGGAGTTTTCAGATCCCCAGGAAGAGCAGAGAAAAGAAAGGTGGTGCCTCTTCTCCCCAACCCCTCTTTCTCTCCCCTCCATCTTTTCATTAGAACCTCTCTGTCTCCTCTTCCCACACCCATCTGAGACAGTAAACATGCACTCAGCGCCGCCGCCTCTCCCCTCCCACCTCGGCGCCCCGCAGCTGCGCTGGTGCGAGAGGAAAGCAGTGGAACCACGCTCCGCTGCTCCCCCTCGCCCCGTGGAAGTTGGAAGTAGCTCAGGTTGGAAGCTTGTTCGTGAGGCTGCGGCTTCCAGAGAGGAGAAATGGTGCTCGGCGCCCCCACTTCCCAATCCCCGAAGGCAGAAAAGCAGATGTGTCCTCCTAAAGATGCTCCTGAGAAGTCTCACTATGGAAATAGCCATGGATTCTGGGGCTTTCTCCAAGGCCATTGCGTTCTGAGGACCACAAGCGCTTCTCCCTGTGGAAATTCTTCAGCTGTGTGTCTACTTGAAATTTGCTTGATGTCAGCGTCTTCCCTTATTTAGAGATTTCCATTAGGAGATATGATCCATGCACACTGCTATTTTTCCATCACACTTCATTTCCATATAGATTTTTTTTTCTTTTTGAAGTATTAAGTAGGTCTGTCTTTTGAAACCCAGACCTAGTGTAGCTTTTCTTACCTGTTACAAGAAAGGGAAGGTAGGTTCTTGGTGCAGTGATTTCCCTATGGGAAAAAATGAGGAAATTCGCTTATGCCCAAGAGTCTCCATCTTGGTTTTGAACTTAAGATGAAAAAAAAAAAAGCTTGTCTTAATTTTTGAAATCAGTATGGGTAATTATATTATGTTTACCTTTTTAATTGTAATACCATATTGTACAGCTAAAAATTACTATCATTTTTTATTATTGGTATTTTTGTCTATCCAATAGTTTGGGTATTTTGGATTTGGCTTATCTTACCCTACTGTGTTTTAATTATTTTTATGACTTACTTTGGAAGCCAATAGGGATTTTTTGGGTCAGTTTGAGTATTAGTGAAGACTTAGAATCCTGACTGAAGCATTGTGCATATGCATAACCGGTTGCTCCTTCTGCACAACTGGAAGGTTAGGACATTTTATCAGTAAGGTACAAATAAAATCTGTTTCTGTTTTGATGACCAAGCCAAGGCCATACTTGGTGTGAGGACCTACGTTAGTAAAGATGAAGTTAACCTTCATGCAAAGTGTTCTAGGATGGTCAAGATGTCAGTTCTTTGGACATAAGATGCGAGGTTGTCAAAATGAGAAAAATTAGATGGCCTTGTGAAATTACTGATAGAGAATAGGCTGGAAGTAGACTTGAGCTCTGATTTTTGAGGATAGGGGGTTTAACACTTTTCAATTTGATAAAAGCCAATTTGAAGTCTTTCCTTTTAGAATCAATATGGACAAACCATGATATACCTAGTATCTTTTGTGAAGGTCAGAAAATTGGGTTCGAAACTCTTAAATTTTCCTTTTAAATGTGGGGAAGAGCAGTTTCGTGTGGTTTTAAGATTAGATAAATGAAATCCAGAGGTGGTTGTAAAATAAGATTCACTTGAACACAATGAAAGTGGAAATAGTTGAGAAACTAGGAAGTACAAACGCAGTTTTCTCCCTGGAGGGAATACTGCTTAGGGAAGGTTTGTGTTTTCCATTTTCTCTTGGAGATGAAAGATTGTTATTTTGACTGGTAAGGAGTGTTGTAGGTTTAGAAAAATATATCACAAGTGGATTTTTTTCACGTATAGTGAAAATGAGTAATTTCGTTTATACACTGTGCAACAGCAATTTAACTAGAACCTAAATAAGCCTAGTTTACCACTGGATTTTTATGAGCTAAGAGAAATTAGTTCCTTAATTTCAACTCTTTTTTTTTTTTTTTTTTTCTTTAGGTGGGGCTTGAACTCAGGCATGCGCTTATTCTACTGAGTTATCTCCCTGGCCCCAATTTCAACTTTTTATTATTAAAAAAAAAAAATCATGAATAGTGGCAGTACTACTGGTTTCACACTTCAAAACATTATTTAGTTTATTTATTTTTTTGGCGGAACCGGGGATTGAACTCAGGCTCTTGCGCTTGCCAGGGAAGCGCTTACTCCACTGAACCATCTCCCTGGCCCACAAAACCTTATTTAGAAGACTTGAAAGGATAAAGACCACTATAGGATTTGGCTAGGTATTGTTAGTTGGGACCATCTAAATCTACATCTGCTTAAACTTTGCAATATCAGAAGTTCTTTTGAAATTATTTAAGTATAGGGCTTTATGACTACTTTTCTGATTAAATTTAAGATTAGTTCTTTAGTTTTTTATACTTTAAAGGTAAACTGCAAGTATAATTTGAGATTTTTTTCCTTGATCTTGACAGTAGTATAACATCCAAAATACTGCTGTTCTAATTGAGGAATAGTATTAGCACATACTTACATAGTATTTTAAAAATTGTGGGCCTCGTTGAGAGCTCTTTACATATTATCTAAATCATAGTCCTTGTGTGGTAGGTATTCTCATTTTGCAGATGAAACTAAGGTAATGAGGATTGATTTGGTGACCATGTCACTTGTCACGCTGATGGTAAATGAGTTAGAATTTGAATTTTATTATTTTTTGTCTTTTGAGACGGTCTCAGTATGCAGTTCAGGCTGGCAGCTCACTTTGTAGCCCTGGCTGGTCTTGAACTTTTAGTGATCCTGCTTCAGCCTCCTGAGTACTGGTATTACAGATGTGTGCCACCACGCCTGGCTTTTGAATTTAAAATTTTTCTTTTTTGTATTTTAAAGATATTTTGGTCTGTTGCATTTCTATGGAAAAAATTTTTTCTCCCCCATTTCTTTGACAGTCTTACTATGTAGTTCAAGCTGACCTTGAACTCACTATGTAGCCTAGGTTGGCCTGCTTCCCTATTAAATTTAGAAATATTTAATGTGTGTTCAACCTTGGAGAATTTTGACATGGGTAAATTATGTTCATCATCTAATAAGTGCTTACAGATTGACCTGTTGCAGGGCATACATTATTCTGTTTTGGTGTTTAGAATTTATTGATTGGGTATATTCTGTAGTGCAGAAACTATACAATTTAAACTGTAGAATTGCATCTTGTTAGTGTGTTTCCCCACCTCCCATCTTTTATTCTAAATCTCGTAAGTTAAATTACTGTATATTAAGTAAAATTTCGTATTGTATTTGATAGTTTTCCTCTATGAAGTTCTGGAGGAATTTAGTGATTTTTTAAAATGTATTTGGTACTTGGCCTTACTACACAGTTTGGACTCATAATGATCCTCCTGTTTTCAGCCTCCCCAGCACTGGGATTATAGGCATGCGCCACCATCGCCGGTTTTGGTGCCTGGCTCAGCGTGTCCAGGGATGGGGCCAGCACAGCATGCGGTACCAGGGATCGAACCCTAGTCCCAGCGCTTCCTGAAGCAGGCGCTTAGTCCACTGAGCTATCTTATTGGCCCATTTTCTGGAAAATAGTGGTTAATTTTTTCTGTAGTGAAAGGGAGTCTAAAAGGAAACTCTGAGGGTAACAAGGGAGTCTCAAAATAACTGCTTTCTTGATGCAATTTTCATAATGGTTTAGTCTAAGAGAGTTGACTAAGTCTACTCAACACCCTCTGTTCTCTCATGTGCACTTATCCTTGTGAAACTCCTGAGGCCAACTCTCATTTTTAAGGAAATTTCCTTGGTGGTTCAGTAGTTGGATATGGATGACAGGATTCTGAGAACCATAGATCTTCCTTAGGTAAATCTGAGCAGGAAAGTATAGGCACAACCTAGTAATTCACGTAAAATACATAACAGGTAAATTGTAGGTAATGGAAGTAAAGTTTTCCTCAACCAGTCCTGACCTCAAATCAGGTTTCAATTGGTACTGGTTTCTTGATCTCTACCATTGTAGTTCCTAGTTCTGCACTATGTTCAAACTTAGGGGTTTTTTTTTGTGCGGAATTGAGAATTGAACTCAGGCCCTTGTGCTTGCCAGGCAAGCATCAATCTTGTTAATTGCTAATTTTTTGTTGTTTGTTTTTTGGACTAGGTCTTGCTTGTTCTGTAATTCAAGCTAGTCTTTTATGTATTTTTTAAAATTTATTTTATTTATTTAGCAAGTACAGGGTCTTACTTCACAGCTCAACTCGAACTTGTAGTGACCTTTCTGTCTCAGCCTTCCCAGTGCTGGGATTACAGGCTGTGGGCCTCTGCATTTGGTTTTTGTAGCTACCATGGCATGGCTGGGCCAGCTCAGCCAGCTCTGCATGTGGTACCAGGGATGAACCCAAGCCCTTGTTTTTGCCAGGCAGGTGCTTAGACCATTGAGCTATCTCCCCAGCCCAGGTTAGTCTTAGACGTAGCCCAGTGATTCTTCTACTGCAGCCTCCTGAGTGTGGGAAGATCAGACATGTGCCATGACATCAGCCAGTCTGTCTGTCTCTTTCCCTCCCTCCCTCCCCCTCCCCTCTCCCTACCCCACCTTCTTCACTCCCTATCCCACTCCTGCCTCCCCCTCTCTTTCTCTCCCCATCTCTGTTTTTGGTACAGTGCCTCACTAAGCAGCTCAGACTAGTAGTGATCATCCTGTTTTCAGCCTCTCCAGCACTGGGATTACAGGCTTGTGCCACCATATCTTGACTCTGGCTGGCTCAGCGCTCCTGGGGGGCAGGGTTAGGGGCTGGGCGGCCAGGCCAGTGTGGCATGGGGGGTAGTGAGTGAAGAAGATGTATGGATGGAACCCTGACCTGCGCTTGCCTAAGCAGGCGCTTAGTCTGTCTCTCTCTCTTTTTAATTTTATTTTATTTTGAAGAGTAAAGACAAAAGCAAGAATGAATAGCAGAAACAGGGTAACATAGGATAGATATGTTACATAAGAAAAGCAAATTAGCAACGATTGTTATAGTACTGCTGAGCCGGCAAATCTGTAGTGCAGATTAACAAATATAGTTATGTGAGATTGGACAAAAATTAAATATTAAAAACACTTCCTCTTAATAAGTCTTAATTTTTTTCTTGTCTTTTTTACTTAAAAAA